CTTTTCATGCACAGAAAGTACGAAGCATCACTGGGGAGAAAGGGGAGTTGGTTAACAGGATCCACAAGGAGAGTGGTATGTGGATCTACATCTCAGAGGGGCATTTTCCAACGAAAATCATCACTGACTAGCTCCACCAATGTCATCTTTAAGGCTTTTGCTATGATCACTGACAAGCTGGAAGAAGATACCAACAGCTCCATGACCAACACCACAGCAACCAGCACATCCCCAGTCACCCTGAGTTGTACTAGTGCTGGTCACTGAGAAAGGTGGTTATAAGATCAGAGATCTGCGAGAGGAGGGGCATGCAGGTCCCAGTGGCAGTGGACATGCTGCCCAATTCCACTGAACGAGCCATCACCATTGCTGACATGCTGCAGTCTGTCATGGAGTGTGACAAGCAGCTCTTCCTGACCATGCTGGAGACACAGTCCCAGCAGCTGTAAGGGAGAGTAGGGATTGCTCCATACTAGCTTATGTCAGTCAGCTCTCTAGTCATCTGCAAGGGTAGCCACAACCAGTGCAGTGACACTGCAGGCAGACCTCTACCACTCAAGATCTGGAGGGCCGCCTCTAGATGCCTACTGACAACACATGATTTATCTGCTCCATCTGGCCAAGCTGAACCAAGTGACAAGACAACGAACGGTCTTACTTTGTCCTAACACACGGTAGGACTGTATTCACAGGAATTGACTCCAGCTCTCCAGAGGTGACAAACTATTGAGCAACTTCAGATGCTGCCACTCAAACCATCCGTACACTCACCATTCCAAATAACTTAATTGGGTGTATGATCAGGCACCAAGGTGCCAATATTAATGAGATCTGCCAGATGTCCAGAGCCCAGAACAAAATTGCCAATCCAATGGAAGTCTCCCTTGGTAGGCATATCACTCACTGGTTCTGCAGCCAGAATTAGTCTGGACCAATATCTAAAGCCAGTAGTCCCCAACCTTTTCTGGCATCAGGGACCAGTTTTGCAAAAGACAATCTTTTCATGGACCAGGGGTAGGAGGAAATGGTTTCAAGATGTTTCAAGAGCATTAGTTACTGTGCACTTTATTTATATTATTACATTGTAATGTATAATGAAATATATAGCATCACTGCCTCAGCTCCACCTCAGATCATCAGGCATCAGATTCTCACAAGGCGTGCGCAACCTAGATCCCTCACATACACAGTTCACAGTAGGGTTCACACTCCTTTGAGATTCTAATGCCATCAATGATCTGACAGAGGCGGAGCTCAGGTGGTAACACTGATGGGGAACGGCTACAAACTCGCTCACCTGCCACTCACCTTCTGCCGTGTGGCCCGGTCTAATCAATGCCAGGCTTTCCTCTGAGAATGGGAGGGATGCAGCTAGTACAATGTAAATTCTCTCATAACCTCTCTTGCTGTTTTTCCATGATTCAACTGTGTAGTTTTTGGTCAGTAATTTCAGATGTTAAAAAACTTGTAAGTGTTCATTTTCTACACAACTTTATTGTCTGCTAAGAACTTAAAAATCACATTCTCTGTTCAGCTGTTAATACCAGAATCCATACTTCGTTTTATAAAGCTTTCTCGTTTTTAGTTTTGTTTTAGATTTTCTGGCTCATGAATTTTATTTGTCAATAAGAAATATAAATGTGGACGATTAATAAATTTCAGTTTGGTTCTATGTCAAGAATTTAAAAAATTGTTTTTTAAAAATAGAATTACAGTATCCTCTTTTGAGTTAATCTCAAGGAAAAGTATTACAAGATTGCTGTGAATTACTCACTGTGTATCATCGAAACAGAGGTACAGGTACAAAAAACCTCAAATGTTTTAGCAATTACCAGCTAATACGCTAAATCTGCCATATTTTGTTACAAATGACTTTTTAAAAAACCATCAATTCTGTCTTAATTATGTGGATTTCAGTGATTTCATTTTCATAATAATGAACATCCTACTCTTCCACACAGCTGAAGTTAAATATGAAAGTTAACAGGCAAACAAATATTATTCAACCGTACATAATCAGCTAAAGGGCCACTACAATTTGAACTGAACTTCGGCTGGAGTAAGATTTCTGGCTTCAACAATATAATACAGATATTTGTACTACAGATTATAGCCCAAAATATTCATTTTACAGAAAAAACTGAAAAAAAGTAAAATTAATCTGCCTAAATTCAGTTATTTACTCCAGGAAAAAGAACAAGAAACTGATCTTAATGAAGAGTCTTTACTTATCAAAGAATATTGAGGAAATAAATCAGGAGATAAACATGGTACCCCCCCACTGCCGATTCAGAGTCTCACTGTTTCACCTAAAGTACAGAGGTACACTCACCACCACTGCAGCCTCAACATGCTGGGCTCAGGTGATCCTTCTGTCTCAGCCTTCCAAGCAGCTAAAACTACAGGCATGTGCCACCATGTCTGGCTGATTTTTTGATTTATTGAAGAGACAAGGTCTCGCCATGTTGCCCAGGCTGGTCTCAAACCTGTGGACTCAGGCAATCCTCTCCTCTCTGCCTCCCAAAGTTAGGATTACAGGTATGAACTATAGCGCCCAGCTCACAATAACTATTGATTTAGTAATTTTCTATCAAAAAAAAAAAAAAATCTAAGGGCAGTCCATAACTTTTCTGATTAGCCTGAATCTTAGAAAAAAGGTCCTTTCATAGTAATAACTAAAAATACTTCCACTTATGAGGTCCCTGACAAGGTGCCACACAGCTGAGTCTTCATAAAATATTAGAATAAGGAAAAACAAAATTACCAGATACACTGTTTCTCTTGCTAGATGTACCTTTCAAAGGCAATTAGAGCCTTTCATAGAAATGGAAGTAGCAATAAAAAGTTGAGAAGGATATTGCTACATTTAAAGAGACTTCTGAACAATAAGAATACCTATGCTTGCTAGAGGAACATTAACCAGAAAAAAAAAAAAGATTTTTCAGTCCAAACTTTATTGAAGTTAAATTTTATAAAGTCTGCCAATACTAGCACAGACAGGAAAAATCTCTTTAATAGAATGATACAGCATTTATATTGTGATATCATATACTTAACGTCTGGAAAACAATTTTTGTGCTTTCTTTTCTTCCTCCATGGATTCTCATCATTTGACCTGGGTTTCAAGCAGCAGATCCTAGATTATGACACTGTACTTCATAAGGTCTTAATTTATAGTGGGAAAATTCCACTTGCGATTATTATCCAGGAACCAATATGTTATAAATTAGATGTTATCTGCACACAAAGAGTTCAACTGACTCTACTTAGAACTATGGGATAACAATCTGGAAAATAAATAAGAAAATGAGTATAAAGTACCCTTATTTCTAAACCTGTATATTGGTAATGATAGGAAGATTAGATTTAGAAGTTGTACTCGTCATAAAAGAGCCACCTTATTTCTAATAGGTACAGCAACTAATACATAGTACATGTACTAGGCACTGTTCTAAGTATTTAAAATAATTCATTTAATATGACCCTGTGAGGCTGGTATTATCACCCCATGTTACAGATGGGAAACTGAGGTATAGAGTTTAAGTAACTGGTCCAAACTTACACAGTGCTAATCCAAAATAGAGCTAGGATTTGAACCCAGTTTCCAAAGCCCATGCTCATAACGATAATGTCTCAATGAAAAATTTAATGTTTATATTCTATGACACCTCATGCTTTAACTCTGTCCTTAGAAAGGGTTTAGGAAAAGGTAAATAGCAAATAGTAGACAAACAAATATTTAATGAATGAGGAATACTATTACTTTTAAAATTGTCGCTATTATACATGCACATTCAAACACATTTCCCTCCCAGATATCCAATCGATAAAAACCTTAGTGCTCAGATTACTCATCTTTCATGCCAAACATATAGGTATTTATGAAACACCTGCTAGTTTTATAAATTTTGTTTTCTTAAATTATGAAGCATTTCATAAGAGCTTTATAGAAGTCTTTATAAAATTTGACATTAAAACAAGCATGAATTTTCAAGCATGAATACATGAGTTCACTACATCTTTACTCCCTCTAATTCAACATTACTCAATTACAGATGATTCTCACCTCCCCCTATCCCGGGACATTTGGCAATGTCTGAAGAACATCTTTGGTTGTCACAATGGGGGTTTGGGAATAACCCCACAAGAAAGAATCATCTGGCCCAAAATGTCAGGCTGACATTAATCAAGTCCCTAAACAAGGTAAGACAAGTACAAGTTCTGACCTCTAAAGGAAGACATTAAAACAAAGTTAAAATGGAGTCTAACTAAAACGCCACTGACAATAATAGGAACTCATCTCTTGTACTGGTTCTTCAAGACCTACTTGATTGAAGATATAAATCAAAGAGAGGGGGTACTTGACTGAAGATATAAATCAAAGAGAGGGGGTAAAGATAACCCTCTTAATTGCTTCAGCAATTCTCTTCTTCCTGAAGTTTCGCTTTGGAAGCAAAGTATTCAAAACATTTTACAAATACTCCCAGGTAAAGGAAAATGGCAGACAGAAAACTTACCCACCAATCAAATAAACTTCAAATGTCGTTATTCTCCTTACATAATCTCTAATAGGTTGAGAAAAAATAATGGCCCTTAAACCCTTGCTTTTTGCATAAGACAGAATAAAATGGTTCAAGTTAATTATAAAATAGTAAAACATTATGAGAAAAATTCTCAAAGAATCTGCCCTATGTGTTTCTCCTCAGGATACATTCCCCTCCTGCCTTCCCTCACCATTTACCTACTCTAGTCTTCAACATCTAGCTCAAGGCCCGCTTCGAGTCCAATCCACACCAACCTCACTCTTTCCAACTCCTATAATCTGGCAAGGTGATGAAACCCAAAAGCTCCTTAAGGGGAAGAAATAGGTTCATACTTAACTATTTCTGCATCTTCAGAATTTAAAACAGCTAATACGAAACTCTATTTTTTGGGTGTACCTAATATATAAATATTAAACTGTGGAAAGAAATGATTAAAAATAGAATCAAACATTTTACCTCCTCTTCACTTTCTTTATCTTCATCATCTGAAGATTCTTCTTTATTTTTTTTTTCATCTTCATCACTACTAGATTCATCTGACAGAATTTCTGGACACTTGGTTCGCTTACCCTTCCTTGCTGTTCCAGAACTGTTCCGTTCCTTTTTACTGCCTTTACTAGGAGTTTTTTTGGATTTTGGCAATGGCTGCATAAAAAAAAAAAAATTATAAGGGAAGCATCAGTGATGTATTAATTTCAAAGTCAATCAACTCTGCTTCTGATAACAATTCTCAACTCAACTTTTTGCTTCTCTCTCAAGAAATTATATTTGCAAACTTAGCAGCTTTACAGAGAAGTCATCTTTAACTTACCGATTTCTAACCACCTAGAAAAACTTCTCAAATTTTGAGAAACATGTACTCTAGGCTCTGACATAAACTAGAAGTCCAAGTACACACTGTGTTAAGCTCAGACGGTTGTTTAGACTTTATAATATTTTAAGCTAGATTTGTAATTTGTTTCCTTCCTATAAGCATTAAAACTATCACTGCCAGAGGAGCTCCTTCCTTTAGAGCAGAGATCCCCGACCCCCATGCTGCAGACCTGTACAGGTCCATAGCCTGTTAGGATCTAGGCTGCACAGCAGGAGGTGAGTGGTGAGCAAGCAGAGCTCCGCCTCCTGTAAGATCAGCAGTGGCATTAGATTCTCATGGAAGCACGAACCCTATTGTGAACTGCACACGCAAGGAATCTAGGTTGCGTGCTCCATATGAAAATCTAATGATGATCCCCCACCCTCCTGTACATGAAAAAATTGTCTTCCATGAAACCAGTCCCTGATGCCAAAAAGATTGGGGACTGCTGTTTTAGAGGGCCCACAAATCAAAGGAGTAGGAGGAACCATCCATATGGAAAACAAAACCTTATTACCAGTTACACATCCTAAACTTGTGAGTGAACTATACAGTTTATATTCCTATTACTTCCAAGTCCTACTTTCAAGAATGCCATGATCATATGCTCACTGATGCTTCTAAGTATGCAATAAATATTGGGTATGTCAATTATGAAATGAATTAAGAACCACAGAATAAGTTCACTGCTGTTACTATGATAACCAACTAAACCATGTATAGTTTTAAAGATAAAGAATAGATCACATGAAGAAAATAATTTGATTATATTAACAAATTTCATTTTTAAATGCTTGCTTAAGGGAGTTTTGCTGAATTCTAAAATTGAAAACCATAAAATTACCTTAAGTAAGATGTCTAAAAATACATACTAAGGAATTAATATTACTTATTTCTGAGACTGAGTATCTTTTATAGTCTTTCATTTCTGCCTTTTTTATTTTCTGCAAGAAGCAGAAACATCAAATTAAAACTCCATAATATAAATTAAGGTATCTAACTATATAAATATGTGTGGTAACATCTTTCATAAAAGTGCCAGCAGAACCACTGGTACTTTCCAGCCCAGGAACCTCCAGTCTCCTAGTGAGGTCACTTTTATCGATACAAAAGTTATGAATAAGTGGCTGTTTTGTGTCAGGTAGCATTCTCTGGCTATCTACAAACAAACCACAGGATAGCCTCCTGCCCAAACAACCTACCCTTCTAAAAGAAGACTGGAAAATAGCCAACTTAGGTCACTCCAGAACCTTTAAGTTGGTGGAGTAATCAAAGACATTTCTCAGAGATTTTCTACAAGTAACCTCCTTAAATATATACAGATATCCTTGCTATGTGAACTATTTCCACTATCAACTATTATCAGGACCGTAATCCATTGAATAGCACTCGCTAAATGAATTCCAGGTCTTAAATGAACTCGAAAAATGTGATATCCCTCACTATTCTCAGCTCATAAACCAGATGCAAGGACGTACTATGTATACAGAATTATTAATATAGGAACAAAAATGGGTGCTGGATAAATCAATACAGAAAAGTAAAAGGATGTCAAATTACTCAAGTAGCCAATCAAGAAAATGCAACCCATAGAAGTAAATGAGGAGCTTTAAAAAACAAAAAGTAGTAATACACAAATGCTTTAGACTGTCTAATACTGATTCTAAAAACAGTTAAATCTATTAATCAAAATCCAGTGTCAATGGCATTATCTCTTTTTAGAAACAAAATCCGATTAACAAAATAATTAAGGCAGGCGTATGATAGAATAGAAAAACAATCATGTTGTGCTCATTTAACAACTTAAAATTGTTATAGAGAAGAAAAAGTTACTATTAATGGACTGATAGTCTTTTTCTTAAATGTTGGAAATGTGTATGGTTAGCACAGAAAATGGCTTGAGCTTGACACTGTCAGATTAAGGATAGTCACAGGGTTGCATACGAAAAACATATCTAACAGTTATATTCTATGAGACAGGATTAAACAGATTCTCAAAGTATGGTTCATGGACCCTGGGGTTTCCTGAGACCTTTTCAGGAATCCATAAGTAAAAATTATTTTCATAATAATAGCAATACATTACTAGTTTATTCTTTTCACTGTGCTGACATCTGTACTAATTGTGCACAAGCAAAGGTGACACTTTAGTACTAATCAAGGCATCAAAATGTTAACAGTAGCCGGGCTCAGTGGTTCAGCCTGTAAACCTTTGGGAGGCTGAGGTGAGTGAATTGCCTGAGCCCGCGGGTTCGAGACCCGCCTGGGCAACGAGACTTCATCTCTACAATAAATCAAAAAATCAGCCGGGCGTGGTAGCGCATGCCTGTAATTCCGGCTACTTGGAAGGCTGAGGCGGAAGGATCGCCGGAGCCCAGCAAATTGAGGCTGCGGTGGCCGGGAGCGGCCACTGCACTCCAGTCTGGGCGACAGAGTGAGACTCCAACTCAAAAAAAAAAATAAATAAATAAACAAAATGTTAACAGTAGTCACTGCATTCCTTACAACTACACACAGCAGTAACAACAAAAAAGAGCCAAATGGTTTGGAAATGTATTGGAAAAACGTGATGTCCCTCACTATCTTAGCTCATAAACCAGATTCAAGGATGTAATCTGTACACAGAATCATTAATATAGGAACTAAAGAATTAAGAATGTCCTTGATAAAGCAATAAATATTAGTTGTATTAACTCAACTCTTAAGTACATGTAATAATATCTGTGATAAAATGTGAGATAAATGCAAAGTAATCTGGTTACATATTGAAGCTCAATGGTTTTCTCAAGAAAAAGCATCTGTGCAATTGATTCATTTGTGACCTAAACTAGCTACTTTTCTCATGGAACGTCATCTTTGAAAGAACTGACATATATGGCCATTTAGACTTATTTGATAAACATGTTCTCAAAAATGAACAAGGTGAGCCTGTCACTTCAAGAAAAATGGAGAATATTTATTGCCAATGATAAACCTCACAATTTCAAGTAGAAATTAGAATTCTGGGAAATCCACATCTATTACTGTGAACTTGACAGTTCCCCAATGAATACCTAAAGCTTTTCCTGAGATGGTATTTATATTAATGAATGTGACTCTTACTGATAATGTTTAATGAAATGAATCAACATTTGGAAGACAGGCATAACTCAGAGAACGAATATTTACAAATGTTAAATGCATAATGTTGCAAAATCATATAAAAGACCCAAATTCATTAACATAAGTTTCAGATCTACATAAAACATTATAACCTTTTTTTTTCCCCCGTCAGTGTCTTACTCTGTCACCCAGGTTGGAGTGCCCCCACAGCCTCAACTTGCTGGGCTCAGGCAATCCTTCCACCTCTGTCTTCCAAGTAGCTGGAACTACAGGCATGCACTGCCACGCCTGGCTCATTTTTCTTGACTTATTGTAGCGATAAGGTCTCGCCATGTTGCCCAGGCTGGTTTTGAACCCATGGGCTCAGGCAATCCTCTCACCTCCACCTCCCAAATTGCTGGGATTACAGGCATGAGCTACCGTGCCTGGCTAATTTTTATTGACTTATTGTAGAGACAAGGTCTCGCCATGTTGTCCAGGTTGGTCTTGAAGCCCTGGGCTCAGGCAATCCTCTCACCTCTGCCTCTCAAAGTGCTGGGATTACAAGCATGAGCCATCACATCCAGCTCCATTAACCTTAAAGAGACTGACAATTGTAGAGTTTTGGTGCTGTGTGGTGTTGTATCAAAAGAAAATATCTACTGGGTGTGATGATTCATGCCTGTAATCTCAGTACTTTGGGAGGTGGAGGCAAAAGGATTGCCTGAGCCCAGGGGCTTGAGACAAGTCTGGGCAACTTGACAACACCTTGTCTCTAGCCAGGCATGGTGGCCTGCGCCCGTGGTTCCAGTTACTTGGAAGGCTAAAGCGGAAGGATCGCCTGAGCCCAGCAGGTTGAGGCTGTGGTGGCCATCAAAGTGCCACTGCACTCCAGCCTGGGCAACAGAGTGAAACTCTGACTCAAAAATAATAAACAAATAAATAAAATAAAACACTCATTTTTCTTTACTGAACTGACTACAGGTTATACCCCACCCTCTAGCACAACACCTCATCCTCAATCCAATCTGTTACCATTCTTCCAGTGCCTTCTAGAAACATAACCTCGAATACTTATAATTTTTGTCCCATCTGGCATTAGTTTACTTTTCTTAATTTTACATCCTTTATATATGATATGAAGAGACATATCCCTAATATCATAAAATTATTGGAGATGTGTCATTGGAAGGTATATACTTTGAATGTAGATGACATTGCTGAATGCTGATAGCAATTCTGCTATTAACAAATTAAACTGTTTCATAGAAAAGAGAAAGTAAAGAAGCTATAAATAATTGATTTGTTATGAAAATGGTAAAAATGGATCCTCACTTTGCCAGAAGGCTTTGGATGCATTAGGAAATTCAAGATCCTCTTCACTAGTTCACTATTTACACCTGATCTCTCCAAATCAAGAACTTCACAGATGCTCTTTAACATGGCATTTCTAAATCTGAAACAGAAAATGGATGAAACCAAGGTGAGAATACAGAAAAGTTTATAAGCATTCTCCACAACATAAAGGCAACAGCCAACCAAACTGGCTCGGCTACATACATTAAAAAAAAAAAAAGGTGGACATTGTGGCTCACATCTGTAATCCCAGCATTCAGGAGACAGAGGCGAGAGGACTACCTGAGCTCACAGGTTTGAGATCAGCCTGGGCAATATGGCAAGATCTCGTCTCTACAATAAACCAAAAAAGTAGCCAGGTATGGTGGCATGAGCCTGTAGTTCCAGCTATTTGAAAGGCTGAAGCAGAAGGATTGCTGAGTCCAGCAGGTTGAGGCTGTAGTAGCCATAAGCGTGTCACTGCACTCCATCCTGGGTATTAGAGACTGACTCAAAAACAAAAACAAAAACGCAGCCAACATTTCTCTGACTCTTACTGTTAATTCTAACTAGTGTACAACTAGATACGATTATTAACAAGTTGATAACACATTACCAATTAAATTTTATTTTTTTAAATTTTTTTCGAGTCTGAGTCTCACTCTGTCACCTAGGCTGGAGTGCAGTGGCATGCTCACGACCACCACCACAGCCTTGACCTGCTGGGCTCAAGTGATCCTACCATCTTAGCCTTCCAAGTAGCTGGGACTTCAGGTGTGCACCACCAAAGCCCGGCTAATTTTTTTATTTATTGTAGAGATGAGGTCTCACCAAATTGCCCAGGCTGGTCCCAAACTCCTGGGCTCAGATAATCCTTTTGCCTCTGCCTCTCAGGTGCCGGGATTACAGGCTGAACCACTGCGTCTAGCACCAACTGAGTGTTAAATGCAGTGAAAGAATAAACTAACCTTAAGTAAATTCACTAAAAAATTAGAGTGGTTTTTTTTTTTTTTTTTTAAAAGTCAAAGTCTCACTCTGTCACCCAGGCTGGAGTGCAGTGGCACATTTACAGCCACCACGGCCTCAACCTGCTGGGCTCAAGTGATCCTTCCACCAGCCCTCCAAGTAGCTGGAACTACAGGCATGTGCCACCACACCCAGCTAATATTTTGATTTATTGTAGAGACGATGTTCTCAGCTGGTTTCGAACCCCTCAGTTCAGGCAATCCTCTCGCCTCTGCCTCCCAGAATGCTGGGATTACAAGCTTTAGCCACCACGCCCAGCCTACATAGTTTTTAATACTATAAAATCCATTGGCTTGATAATTCTGGCTGATGTTAAATATTATATTTCTCTTCAGCGTTGCTATTATGAAAGAATAGGTAAACATCTTTATTATTTGAGTTCTTAAACTATAAGGCATTTAATAAGCAAAAGCTTTAAGAATATATCATCTTGCTTGCATTAAGATAAAGGACTTTGTTTCTATCAAATTGATTATCTTCAAAATAATTTAAGGGGGACAGAGTGGCTGATGGGACAGGAATGAGAAAAAATGTTCACTATATTCCCTTTTGATCTTTTGAATTTTGGACTCTGATTAATCTGTGTCATTCTTCTAGGAAATAAAAATTTCTTTACACATTTTCAATAATCCTGATAGTCACTATTTATTAGAAAGTAATGGACACCCCAAGTTAACAGCTATAAATTAGACAAGTCAAATGTTGGTATTTAAAGCAAATAATTAGCAATCTACTGAAAATGAACGGGATTTTTTAATGTTATCAAAAATACATTTATAAAAGTAACTTACTTTTTCAACATTTCCTCCTTCTTTTTATATTGAACGCTTCCTTTTTCAAATGGAAAGCCGCTGAACTGACCCACATTCTTCTTTACTGACGACACCTGAAAATGTTTCTATTATTGCTATTTATTAACCAGAAATGTACATAAGAAAAAATTCAAGGCCAATCACAGTCAAGAACTTTATTTTCATAGATATGTCTCAGAATCACAATATTAGTTTATTCAACATTTCTTGTTCAAAATCGAAAAATATGTTTCACTAATATATTAACTTTCTAAAAACCCTACAAACTTATTTATTTGAAAATAACAGTTTGAACTTGAATGATTTTCTATCTGGGAATTTTTACCACAACTAAATGCTATCTGATAGTAGCAGGGGACGTGGAAAGTTACAACTTAAAAAGACATCCTTTTCATAAGTAATACTACTTCCTAGCAATATTTATGTTTCAAATCAAGAAGTCAAGGACTTTATTCTTTGAAAAGTAAAAATAGCAAGTACTGTAAAAAAGTTAAAACCATTTGCTAGTTATGAGACTTGTGTAAATTCAGATTGTTTTGATGATTAAATTAGATTGACACATGTGAAAATAAGTTTATATCATGGTTCAGACATTCTAGTCTTACATCAAGCTATACTTTGCCCATATACAATCTAAAACAAAATTTCCTCAATTATGTCAAATACTAACTTACATGTACAGTATAAGAAACCCTTTGGCAAAGTATTACCAAATGAAAAAAAGTTTTTCTTTCAATACATTTAAAGATCACTAAACACAATTTAGATTGCATAATTTCAAATTTTAGTTTGGAATTAAAAAAAACTACAACAGAAAGAATCCTAGATACCATAATCCTAATTGCTCATATCCAGCTATGTGTCCTGTGTTAAGTCTTTTAACAAATATGTCTCAGTTTGCTTACTCTCATACAGCACAAAAAGTGAACTAGTTGATTGCTAAAACCTTTTATGGAACTAAAATTATACTTCTGTTGTGAAGTATGTTAATACATGAACATGCAAATAGGTTAAAAGTGTAAAAAGGTCTTACTGTGCCTGGCCTGTTGTAAAGCAGTTTGTGTAGATTTCTAAGTTCATCCGTTTTCTTCTTACTTAGAAAAAAATGTATCCTTTCAATTTCACAAAGTTTTTGTCCCTTTCCTACAAAAGAATACTATAATTAAATACCACTGCTTATTAATACATTTACAAAGTTAATTTAATGAGAATTATTTTTAAAGCATAATTTACAAGTAACTTTGCCCTAAATGGGGCAAATTAAATTATACGTAAAGTATATTACTAAATAACCTGCTAATACTAAATACTACTAACTATAGTTTTTGCATATATAGGCATTTTCACCATAAAATGAAAGGACATAGAATAAACATACCTTGTGCAATTGTAAATGGCTCTCTTTGTAAGGAAGAGACTTGCATTGTCAACCTCTCTACTTTTTTCTTTTCCCTCTTGCCTTCCACAATGAGACTCTTTTCTGTAAATTAATTTAATATTTCTTTTTAATAACAAACAGCTTAAAGAATAATACTTTATATAACAAACATGTAGGAAAAAAGTCCTAAAAGGCTAATGTCTTCCTCTTCTGAGCATGGTTTTGGTAAGCAAATGACCTAAAAGACAAAAACACTTAGTAAGTTCACATTCAGTACAGAGAACCACGGAAGTTTGTTTATTTAAGGGACAGGCTCTGCTGCCCAGGCTGGAGTGCACTGGCGCAATCAAAGCTCACTATAACCTGGAACTCCTGAACTCAAGTGATCCTTCTGCCTCAGTCCCCAAATAGCTAGTACTTGTATGTAAGTATGCACCACCATACCGGCTAATTTAAAAAAGCATTTTTTTTTTTTTTTTTTTAAAAACAAGCCATCCTTCAGCCTTGGCTTCCCAAAGCACTAGGACTACAGATGTGAGCCATAGTGCCTGGCTCAAAGTTTTTTAGAGTAATATTTTTCCTACCTGGCAAACTGACAGGGATCCAGTTTTTTTTTTAAAAATCAGAAAGCAAATAAACTTTATCCAACTAAAATTACTGCTATTAAAGTCCAGCAACTTTGTGAAAAGTCATCTATCTAGGCCCTGTTTAATTTTTCTTTGGACATAATTCTATTTGTTAACTGTGATTCACAGTTTACTGTACATAAGAAATAGCAAGTTTAGCTCGGGAGTGTAAGAACTTCAAAAGATACACAGAGAACAGTAATAACTTATTAAGCTAACAAGAGACAAAAACAAGGCTGGAGTAACTGGATAAGACAAAAATTCCATAAGTCTACAATTGCTACAATCAAATGGGAGGGCATTACTTGGTAGTTTAAAAAGTGAAATTCATAATGATGGCCATAAGTCATACCGAAAAAGTTAAAATTCTGTTTAAGGCCAGGCATGGTGGCTCACACTTATAATCCCAGCACTTTGAGAGGCAGAGGTGAGAGGACTGCCTGAGTGCTGGGGTTTCAGAGCAGCCTGGGCAACCTGGTGAGACCCTGTCTCTACAATAAATCAAAAAATTAGCTGGGCAAGGAGGCAAAAACTTTGTGAAATTGAAAGGCGGCACGTGCCTGTAGTTCCAGCTGTTTGGAAGGCTGTGGCTGAAGGATTGCCTGAGCCCAGCAGGTCAAGGCAGCAGTGGCTGCAAGTGTCCCACTGCACTCAAATCTGGGCTATAGAGCAAAGCTTTAGTCCTAACTGCTTTAAAAAAATCTAGAAAATAGGAAGCATATACTTTAAAAAATTTTAAAGTTAGATAAATAAAATAACACTATATATTGCTGAAAGTACTTCCATTCAGTCACATGTTTTGTACAAAGCTACATACTAAGAAGGAATGAATAGCCGATTAAGACATTCAATGTCTTTGGAAAGAGATTTTGTCTACTTAGAGAAATAAGATACAAATATTATTATTCTCACATAGAGGATGACAAAACATCTTAAAAATACAAATAATAAGAATTCTGTGAATTGAAGAGAAATTACTTTTGGACTGAGGAAAAGAATTAAAGCATTGGTGCTTCGGAAGACAGGTTCCAGATATGGGGATGTAGGGAAGTGCACAGAAAGAATGAGACAGAGGAAAGAGATATCAGCAAGTATATTCTGGTCATGTACAGAAGAACAAGCACACTAAAGCAACTTCTATTATCACTCAACTTACTCTCCCTGAGTGATTTAAGCCATCTGCTTGCCTCTGATTCCCAACTCTCTAGGCCAGAGCTTTCTTCTAAGGTTCACATCAACTAATACACTTGTCCCTCAGTATTCATGAGGGATTGATTCCAGGATTCTCCTCGGATACCAAAATCCACAGATGCTGAAGTCCCTTACGGAAAATGGTGTAGTATTTGCATAACCTGTCAACATACTTTAAGTTACTTCTTTCTTATAATAGCTAATACAATGTAAATGCTATGTAAGTAGTTATACTACATTGTTTAAAGACTAGGAAAAAAATCTGTTCATGTTCAGCACAGACAGGATCATCAATTTTTTTCTCTCAAATATTTTTGATTCATGGTTGGTTTCTTACCCATGGATAAGAAATTCATGGATATGGACAGCCAACTGTATTCCTGGCTGCTAGGTGGACAGCTCTACTTCATGTCCTATAGGCACCTGAACTTTTTACAGAAAACATAAATACCAGGGTCAAGTACTGTGGCTCATGTCTGTAATCCCAGCACTCTAGGAGGCCAAGGCAAGAGGACTGTCTGAGCCTAGGAGTTCAAGACCAGTCTGGGCAACATGGTGAGACCTCATCTCCACAGTAAATTTTTTAAAAATTAGCCAGGTGGTGGTGTATGTCTGCAATCCTAGCGAATTGAAGCTGGAGTGAGTGTACCACTGCACTCCAGCCTGGGCACAGAGTGAGATTCCAACTCAAAAAAAAAATCAAGATATAATTTATTCACCTAGGGCAAAATGTGTGACTCTTTGAACTATTGCCAGTCCCCAAGCCATCACTGTGTTAGCCATTTGTAGTATTTACACAATCTAATTTTTTCCTGACATAAAGAAAATTCACCATCTCTGTGGTATCCTACCTCTGCTCCCACAAAAAGACTAATACAAAATATTAGAGGAAAAAGTGCTGGGAGTTTTGGGCATTGTATTATAATTCAGAATAATTTTTATTAGTAGTTAAGAAATAACATAAAAATTTTTAATTAAAAAGCCATGTTGTTCTTAAATATGGACATGTTCCCTCCTTAGGGAACCTAACACTTTAAACAAACAAAAAAGGTATACCCTGCAATCTTAACCCGGATTGTATTCATAAAATGTAGACCACAGGCTGGTTGAGGTTTAAAAAAAACTGACAGTTAAACCTAGGAAGAGAACTTCAACTTCTTGCCAAGTTTGGTTGAGTAGCCGCGCAGACTAAATAAACCTAAACTGCGCTAATATCATACAATGCTAAGAGCTGTGATTTGGACTTTTTAAACGGTCGGAAAGATGTCATCAGGAAGCTGGATACCTCAGAGGCACCTGCAGTGTGCATCTTGGATAAACTGACACAGCACCACCTTTTCCTCCCGGTCAGGTTTCTGCTTCACCTCCAGTCAAATCAGGGTGAACTACCGCCCTCCCGCAGGGCAGACTATAAAAACCGAAACAGCTCTGGGCTCACAGTTAACTTTCACGTCTTTCACTTGTAACTGCTTTCTCAAGTAGCAACAGCTTTCACTGGTGTTTCCCAGGGAGAGAGAACTCTCAAGGGGATTTTAAATAGTCTAAAACATGAAAACATTTCTAGGACTGGAACGAGTAACTTAGCGAAGTCTTCACGTGTGGTGGTGTTAAAGACCTCACAATAACTGCCATCAGCAAAATTAAAACATCCACTTAGCAACTTCAAAGGTGCACACGCTGATTTTAAAACCAATCTGAGACGCACAAACTTCCCGTCTAAAGACCAGACGTCATGAACGGGCAGCGCGGGCGAGAAGTCGGCCGCACTCCCAAACACATCACGGCAACCACATCGCGACGACCACGTTAGGAAACACTTCAGAAACTGGAATTCACACCCTCAATGCCACGCCACCGCGCAACACAAAGGCAGATCGATCCTGCACACGTTCTCGCGGAAAGCCTCTCCGACTTAACGTCTCTAAGCGTCCAAAGAGCAAGAACACGGTTTCCTGGAAGACAAAACTAAACTTGAGTCCGAAAGACCCCCCGCTCGGGATGCGACGTCCCCCACCTTTTTCCTCCTCCTCGTCCTCGTCGTCGTCGTCGTCCTCGTCCTCCTCACTCTCGCCTCCGGGGCCGGGCATCTCGGGCTCCTTCTCGGACGCGGGCGGGGCGGGGGTTTCCTCTCCCTCCGCAGCGAGGGGGGGGAAGCCCGACATGCTGAGGACCTGCGGGGGGAGGAAGCCCGACGTCTCGGTGCCCGAGCTCCC